ATCATGGTCATAATAACAACAAAAAGAGTAATCATGAGCACAGAATAGACACTTCTTTGGCTAGACATTGTTTCAAGCCTTTATGTGTGTGCTTGTAATTAGCCCTTGCAACAGCACAGTTAAAAGCAGGAGTATGACCCAGCATAATTTAGAAACAGTGCTCACAGAGTGACAGTTTCTCATCAAGGCTGCTAAGGGGCACATCCACAACCTGACCTTTCCAGCTCCAAAGTCTGTGCCACTTCCTCTTGGTAGTATTTCCCACTAGAGCAGTGATGTACAACATGTTTTAGCTCATTTGGCCTTTCCAATAACTCCTCTGCAAGACAGTTGTTGCTGTCCCTAGTATCAAACAAGGAAGTGGAAGACCCCAGAAGTGCAGCCCTTTTTAATGCTAACATGGCTGATTATGTCCCAGCTCTAACAGGAGCTTGAATCTTGTGGTACCCAGGCCATTGTTCCAGAATAAGTATAACACCAGATATGTACTGTGCCATTTTCTGCTCTTTGTTGACCTTCGGCTACAGGAGACAAGACCTTCAGTCTACTGGGACAGGTCATTACCCAGAAGTAGCGCACAACCCTAAAAAAGACAGCCAGGTAGAAACAGGCCTGTGAGCGTCAGCCAGAGGATGTAAGCACTTAGGGTGAAAAGTTTTACAGTTCTTTTTCCCATAGTCCACAGTGGGGAACACCACCTTTATTTCACCAGCAGACCCTAGGGTTCTGTTGTCTTTTTGTTGTTTCACAGACTTCCCTGGTCATGTCCTTGTGTACTTCCAGTCCCCAAGCCTACAGCTTTGTTTTGCCTCTGCTGTCTTTTCCCTGTTGACCCTTCAGCAAGCCTTGTTGAAGAATTGTTTAGGGGCTGTACACACTTTTTAGAAAATTGCTTTCTTCATTTGTGCTGTTATTTTGAAGTGGGTTGCTTGATTTTCTTCTTTCCTGTCCCTTAACTCTTCCTTCTTAGAGGTCATCTCTCCTCATGGAACCTACCTGCCTGCACCACACTTGGTCAACAAGAAAGTAACTGGTGACACTTGATTTGCATTCAGCACTCAGCTAACATGGGCCCCGCTTAGGTTACACTTTATGGTCTCACAGTTGATTAATATAAGAAATGACATTAGATAATGATTATTGGGTGTCTGCCTCATCATTGGCAATGTTCTAAATGTGTTAGATTTGTGTTACTACATTAATCCTCAACCACGCCACTGAGGATAAGTTCATTATTCTTTCCACTGTAGAGATGGGAAAATTTTAGGCCCAGAAAGGTTACATGAATTGGCCAAGGTTACACTGCTAATACATTGCAGACTGAGGCTTTATACCCAGTCTGGGCAGAGCCCATCTTAGTCTACATTTGGAAGTGCTAGTTGGTGTAAGGCTGTGTTCTAGGGCTTTAGTAACTCAATCCATTTAGCAACCTAGCTGGGACTTAGGTTTTAGTCACTTTTTTGCTCAGAATCATCACAGTCAGTTGCCCAGGCAGGATTTGAACCAGGTATCTCCTGTCTGTAGGACATACTCTTAACTATTCACACCACTCCTATTTGCTGCCTTTACTTTTCAATGTAGTGGAAGCCTTCTGCTTTCTGTTAGACCACTAACTCCTTCAGAGCAGGGTCTTTGTTTAGTCACCTATTGTCAAACTGCCTTATAGGGGCTACTCAGTAAATGTGTTGCCTGAATATGTAACAAAGGCAGTAAGTGTCTTCATAAACCTAGTAGAAGAAACCATTACATCTGCAGAAAATATGATAAAGAATAATTTGTTCTTATTTTAAAATTATATAATAAACATTTTCTCTACCATTAAAATTTTCTATCTGAAAGTAATAAATGGCTAGAAGAGAAGCTAGAGAAAGGAAAAAGTGAGGCCTGTTATGAGTTGTTTCTGCTCTCAGATTTAAGGACAGAAAGGTTGATTATAACCAGAGCTTCCATCACTTCACACCTCCTTAAGAACTTGGAAAGTTTATGCAATACTTAGTCCCTGGTCAAAGTTAGGCATCGGGCTTGTGGTCTTTGAAAGTCCCAGCATCCCATGGTTAGGGTGCCATCTGGAGGTGGAAGGTGGTATTTTTTGAGTTCTGAGCCTGGGTCATCTTGCAAAATACATTTCCTGTTGAGTCACTGAAGTCCCATTTCAAAGTTGTTCATCTTCCGACTTCATGCTTTGATCAAATTAGTTGCCATTGTTTTCTCTTCAAAATTTCAGTTATGCTTTATATTTAAATAGTCAAGTTCAGTTCAGGGCTGTTTTGCTAATCATAAACCCTTGACTAAAAACAATGCATGTGATAAAAGCAGATAGATTGTGCTGAAGGGTAAGCAGTTGTCCACACTCTTGGGGGTGGGTAGAGACATGGTTCACAGTGTGCCCTGCAGGAAGGGTCTGGGTCTGGGTGAGGGATAAACAGAGGCAGGAAAGTTGTCCTTTTGCCTCTGTGCTTGCTCACACCTGCCTTATATAAAATTTGTGGTGGTTCCAGGGCAGTCAGGTGAAGTCTGGACTTGGGCCCTCAAAAGCCAAGTTTACTTTGCCCTGATTTGCATCAGAGGATATATTTAGCGTGAGTAGAACAATGAGCTCATCACTCAGCTCATGGTTTTTTCCCCACTCTTCAGACTGCAGACTTTTTGTTCTCATTTTTCACAGGACACCACAACAGCTGAACCTTAAATATTGTTCCAAGTCCAGAGCTCTGCTCACCACTAAGCAACTGAACACAGTTGTTTCTCTCCTTTTTGAAAGACCCCACAAAGGGAAATTATGTTTCTTACTTGTTCTACTGTTGAAGTATTTTTAACTGACAGGTTTAATTTTTTCTTTTTTTGTGGCCAGCTCAGCCCACTCTTGGAGGCAGGGCTGGTGCGGCAGGCAGGGCTGGTGCGGCATATGGTACAGGATTGAACCATTGAACCGCTGTCCCTGAGCTTGCCTAAGCAGGCACTTTAGTCCACTGAGCTATCTTGTCCACTCAAGTTTAATTTTTTTTTGTAAAGTAATTTCTTAAAATCCTTTGGTGATGGTCAATTTGCTTATTTTAATCCTCATGTATGAGACTAATCTTGTTAAGCCTCAGCCTTTTCACAAACTTAAATATTATTTAATACCTGGTGGGAAGGGTTGCTGCAGTTCAGCTCACTTGTAACTCAGTCCTCTTCTCAAAGGGTGTCTGCTTCTCAGCCTTGAAACTATGGTTTGCCATTATTGAGTAGACACCCTTTTTCTTTCTTCTTGGATACTTTCTCCTCTTCTTTCCCTGGGGCCAGTCCTGTCCTACTTATGATGTGTTGACTCTTCCATTTGTCCTTATTCCTCAAGAGCATTTTTTAAAAACAACTTTACTGACATATAATTCATGCAGAATCACCCATTTAAATTTACAATTCACAGATATTTAGAATATTCACAGATAAGTACAACCATCACAATAACTTTTGAATATTTTTACCATTTCTAAAAGAAGCCTTAAGCTGGGTGTCGTTTCCTATGCTTGTAATCCTAGCACTTGGGAGGCCAAGGCAGGAGTGTCACTAGTTCAAGGTCAGCCTGAACTACACAGTGAAACCCTGCCTGGAAAAAGCCTAAAATGAATGAATAAATTAATGAAACTTTACATCCTTTCCCTGTCACCTCTTCCTCTGCTGTCCAACGAGGAGCGACCACTGCTCTCCTTGACTCTGTTTTTCCCTATTCCAGACATTTTCATACATAGAATCCTATGTAATGTGTAGCCTTTTGCATCTGATTTCTTCCACTTAGCCCACTTTCAGGGTTCACTTATGTTGTAGCGTGTACCAGTGCTTCATTCTTTGTGGATCAATAATACTACACTGTACAAGCATGTCATTTTGTTTAGCCACTTAGCCATAGATGGACACTTGAGTTGGTTTTAACCTTTTGGCTGTTGTGAATTACACTTCTGTGAGAGCATTCTTGGTGCCTTTTCCTTTTTTCTTTTTTCTAGTTTTTTGAGGTAGAGTCTGGCTGTGCAGTTTAGGCTGACCTTGAACTCACTGTATAGCTGAGGCTGGCCTCTAAAAGTCATTGTGATCCTCCTGCTTCAGTCTCCTGAGTGCTAGGATTACAGGCATGCACCACCAGTCCTGGCCTTTATGTAAATTTTTGTGTGACATTCGTTTTCATTCCTCTTAGTATATCCCTAAGAATAGAATTTCTGGGTCATTTGATAACTACATGATTAATCATTTGAGGAACAGCCAGACTGTATCCCAGTGTGGCTAGGATAGTAACCCACCATCTATATACGAAGGCTCTGATTTCTTTACCTCTATGCCAACTGTTGTTACCTGTCTTTTTGTTTCTGTCCATGTTAGGGTATGTAAAGTGACTTACTAATGTCAGTCATCTTCACTGGAGATTGAACCCAGGGCCTTTGCACTGAGCTGCATTCCCAGCTCTTTGTTTTTTATTTGAGGTAGAGTTTGCTAAATTGCCCAGATTAGGGTTAAATTTATGATCTTCTTGCCCAGTCTTCCAGAGTGCTAGGATTGAAAATGTTCACCACCATGCCTAGTGCCTAGTGCCTCATTGATACTCTGATCTTTGATATTCTGGTTTATTTATTTATTTATTTGGTGCAGAGTCTTGCTATGCAGGTCAGACTCGAAGTGATGTACCTGTTTCAGCCACTCAAGCACTGGGATTATAGGCGTGTACCACCCACTCAGTTTCAAGGCTGGCATGGCATTCCCAGAGTTCCAGGGCCAGCATGGCATGCAGTACTGGGGATTGAACTTGGGTCCTTGTACTTGCCAGTCAGGCGCTTGGACCTCCAAGCTGTATCCCTAGTGCTCATGCTACATTTTGCTGTGCAGCTATTTCATAATGAAATGTGAAGTGTTTTTCACTAAATATCATTGTATGCTCTGGTTAGGCAGAGCAAGTCTTCAAACTAAATGGTCATAGCAAACATGACAGTGAAAGGTAATAGGTTTCATATGGATCATCTTCCTTCTTTTCCTAGGTTTGGCAGATTCCAGAAAATGGACTCACCCTTTCCCTGACTGAACCTGTGGTGATCTTAGAAGGCCATTCAAAGAGAGTCGGTATCGTGGCCTGGCATCCAACAGCACGCAATGTACTTCTTAGTGCAGGTAGTAGCTCCAGAGGCCCTCGTTGCCCCTGGCTTTTACTTCTCTGGGCTCTTCATCTGGAAGGGAACAACAAATGCATTTCATATGTATGTTCTGCAGCTTTGTTCATTTATGTGATGCTGGGAATCAAAACCAGGGAGAGCTTCCACACAAGTGCTCTATTGTTGAGCTACATCCTGAGCAATACTGTTGTAGTCCTGAAAAGAGTATTAGGAAACCATGGTGATTTGCACTTTCAAAAATACGGAGATGACTTCTTTATATGTGGCCTGCCTTTTTTTTTTTTTTTTTA